AGTTTAAAGACACAAGTATTTAATGAAACAGCATTTTTTCACATCAATTGCAAGAAAAATATTTTTTTTTAAATCTAATTCAGGAATATCAAACAATATATAAAAATATGTACATAATATATATATTTTTGCCATAAGTAAAGTAGATGCAAAAAACTTACTTAATAAGTACATGTACAGAATATTCCTAAATAGTAATTCCATCTTGACTGGAACCGAATTAAAAATCAACAATAATACATAGTACAGAAATGTTAATTCTGCCCTTTATATGTTAGACGTCAGATGATATAAATTGAAATAACTAGATTTAATTGCCAGGGGATTATCGACAAAGGCGGAATCCCACCCGTTGTGACATCATAATTGTTTTTCAATTTTCTGGGTTTCTCCTTGTTTATATCGAGAGATCAACACCAATCAATCAAGTTCTTACACGCTTTCGTAAGCAGTCAATCGTTTACTCGTATCGATATTGGTATTTTTTAAAATATGTTTTCCCTAACCGAATTAATTGATCTTGTTCTTTTTTCATTTATTAATGGTATAAATTGATCAAACTATCAGGTAATGTTTACATTTGTTAATGACAAGTCTTAAATAAACTATTCACTTTCTCTATTGTATGTAATTCTTCAGCATTAGATAAATATATGTACGCCTGAGAAAAACAGAGTATCACGTACGTTGACCAAATGCGTTTTTGTCTTTACGAGAAAGGCATTCATTATCTACTGGTAGTACTCTACAACTGCAACTCAGATTGAATTCAACGAACAGTCATACATGGGTTTTTGTCAGACTGATTTATTTTTTAACTTTGCCATGAACTCTGATGGACTGGTAATTATTTTGATTGAAGTAAACGATTAGGCGTTTAATAATTGATTTCAAGTAAACATTTCCCCTCATTGAGAATTGCAAAGTAATTTTACAAATGAAGGCATTGCATTGATTATTGACGCATTCTTTGCCGTTTAATATTAAGACTCTGATAAATATATTTTTATTCACAACAATTAAGATGTTTTCTACTTGAGGTCAAAATGTCAATGTTAAGCCAGCATGTCGTATTTTAAACCCTAACCCGGCTTTCTAACACCAACTTTAATGAATCATGACCATGGCAGTGATTTTTAAAATACATTTAATCGAAAAAGCAATTATATTTAACCGAGCGAACTTTTATCAAAAAATCATCCTGAGAAAATATGTACAGTAATATAAATGTGAATTTTTATTTACCAAAACAAAATGGAAAAAGGTCAAATGGGAAATAATTTACGTTGGTTTTCTTTTGTCATACTTTACTGTGAAGAACCCCCCCCCTTCATCCTGTAGTCATGTAGTTTCTACACCATTAGAGAGAGAGAGAGAGAGAGAGAGAAGATGGGGAGGACAAGGCGGTCAGAATACCTATAACGTCAGATATTAACAAATGATATTCAGTATTTAAATTAACTTATCAATATTTGAAAGTTATGAAATCAAGAGGGAAAAAAAACCTTTTCTGAGAGAAAAAAAATCTCGTAAAATTTTTTTCTTAATATAAAGACATTAGATGGTATTCGAACCCCCTAGCAATAAAAATCCGAAGTATCACATAGTTTTGAATTTAAATCATGAATCCAAAAGGGTATAATATATTGTACATAGTATCTGTGCGACTGTCCTGTGGTACGACTTACTGTCTGTATTACGTCAGACGGCGGGATAGTCGCACTCTCTTCTACACGTGGATGCCGAGCAGACCGGACGTGTCTGGGACAGCAGCTAAGCGGGGAGTCGACCCGGGCCAGAACCCACTGTGTTTGTATTTGTGTATTTGTATGTATATTAATAAATACTTGTAAAGAACACCCCCTATATGGTTACTTTAATATTTATCAGGTAGGAAGCCAACACACTTCTATCCAACATTTAAAAAATGTGATATGAGGCGCATTTTTGCACATCTGACGAATTACACATGTGATGGCTTCTAAAATGCGATAAAAACCCTTTTTTCAAACTCAAAGATGGGACCACAGGCAAGAACAACTTTCATAATAACCATGTGTGGAAAAAATACAAATACAAATTGTTTGTGCTTGTGGTAAATACCATAGGCGTCGGAGGCAAATTGAAAGGGGGTGGGTGGGTTTAAACCAATAGAAAATGTTAGCCCTAATTTTCAATGCCTATATTATATCTATTTTTGCAAAAAGTGGGATGGGCCCCGCATGTAACGCTTCAAAGAATCAATCATTTTTGATAATGAACCGTTAATGGGTGGTTCAACCTGCAAAAATATAGCCCTCGCCGATTTTTTAATCTGATAATTCTGGAGAGGGCTACAATTCTACAGCATATTCGTAATGATACGAACATTTTTTTAAAATACGGACAACTTCAGGCAAGATAAATTGTTTTTACATTCAACTTATATAAGGAATCACTGTTTAGTTAGTATAGTATTCCAGGGCAAGAACGATAGTGCGAAACATGGGATAAAGGGCGAAGCGCCCTCCATGTATCGTCGGTCAATATCTGTCAACCTAGGTCATTATAAATGCATATTGACCGTGCATTGAGTCGATCCATATTTATTATATTATAGAATTTCCCGAATTCGTTAGCACAATGTTTATCTTTCTAATGTTTACAGAGATAGTGATATGCTGTTGTTGCGTGGACCCTGAGGTCCATGCAGTAAATATATAAGCGAGGCTAAACAGGATATCCTGCCATGGGCAAACGACAGGCTACACATGCGCGAATATGCTAGAGAGTTCGCACCTTAGGCAACTTGCCCGTAGAATAATTCGCCCTATTCGAATTAGAATCAATGCCATTTATTGGCAAATCGCGCATATCGCATCTATATATTTAGGGGCAGATCCGAATTTTTCTCTTATACGTATACTTTTATTGATTCGACATGTTTTATGGCACAAGCATTTCAAAAAGTAGGAAGAACTTGCAGTATGTCAATACTGTACATGTAACTTAACCACTTGAATGAAAAACGTCATTCAACGACTAGTTAAAGCTTTTAAAAGATAAAACAAGTTTTCACCGGCATTAATTTTGTGCATCAAGGCTCGCAAAATAATCTGATATTTCAGTCATCCAATTACCGTCTAATAGAGGTCGGTAGCAACGGTTTTTAATGTTGGGGGGGCGGGGGGACTCTGACAAAAAATCTGATTACTACAGAGCTGTGCCACACGTGAACCATCAGATCTATTCTAACCATGATAGATTTCTTCCGTATAAATCGGAGATAAAATTAAACAATTTTGCTTTGAGACTACAATCCATTGGCGTCGGAAGGAAATTGAAATTGGGGGAGGGGGGCTAAGTATAAAAAAAAACTGTACCTTTGAAAAAAAACTGACAAGCAAAAAAAAAAAACAAAAAAAGGGAAATGTCCTTTTCCCAAACACGAAAATCCTATTTCGATGGGGGGGGGGGGGGGGCAGGTTCAAACTTCAGTACCACCACTTTCCTCTTTCTTAACGTATACTGCGACTTGTCGATGGAAAGGGGGGGCTAAACCTACGCAGCAATGTTCAATGTCTATACTAAGTATATATTTGGAAAAAAATGGGGCTAAGCCCCCCCCCCCTTACCCCGGTTCCGACGCCTATGCAATCAGTCACAAGTTGGCAGATCATTGTATTTTTATATATTGAATTTCGGTTAGAAACACATGCATATGCATGGTCCACGTATTGCAGTCCTTTTTTAAAGGACAGCAACTTGTTGTTAACCATAAATGTTAACAATCATCATAGCTATTAGCTAGCCTATATCTGTCGTGTATTCATCAAATATCGTCTACCTTGTTAAGGTGGGGTTAACGCCCCCTTTTTCAGATTGACACCATTCTTGAGACCCATTTGGTTATATGTTTTATGTCAATCATACCATAATTGTATCTAGTCATTTGATGTAACTTGTTGTTGCTCTCAGGTACAAACTTGATTTTATTTGTCTCTTAACTTTTGATGTTGATGTATATAATTTTAGTTACTTTTGTACATGTTTTTATATTGTGCTTTCGTCAGATCCACTGTCATTTATTGCATATTTTAATAAATGACCATATTTATTCTTTAAAGAGGAGTTATGTTCTTATTTGATGTAGGTCGTAAGGCAAGCATGCAGACATAAATAAGCTGAATGTAAATGTTTCAGAATTTATTTAATATTACTCACAGGCACTTGTTTCGGTAATAAATTTTAACCCATCACATAATAAGAGCACAATATATCTAACTCCGAATAACACAGAGTACCCCCTCCCCCAGAATCAGACAGACGGACAGACAGGGCAAAAACAATATACCCTCAATTCGTCGATTACACAAAGGACAAGATAGTACAAGACCCCTTTTTGGCCTCTGGTTTCCGGTGTCTTTTAGAATGATGCAACAGTCTATAAATTGAAAACCACTTATCACCCTGCCACAAAATGAGTATTTGTTCTAAATTACAGGATACAAAGAGGTCACACGAATGTCTGAAAGTACGTCAATTTCCGTATTGCGTCATTTTCATGCAAATTTTAATCAATTTACACCATATTTTCATTCAGAAAAACATAAAGCACAAGCTTTCCTATCTATCATACTTTAGTATCAGATGTACGTTTTGTATAAAAAATCTCAGATAGGCAAGTTTGTGCTATATGTTTTCCGAAGTGAAATGTATCCCAAATATGACGAAAATTCACCAGCATTGAGAAAATTTGGAAAAAACGTCAGATTTCTACACCCAATTGTTGCCTCAGTGAAAGCTTTGAATCAAAATTAGTCCTGGTTTTAAAACAAGCATCAATCCAAGTTCTTAACTACAAACTATCACTGACAGTTTTGTCTTTGGTCTGTTTTCTTTTTACATCAAATAGGGGGGCAGATTCCGTGGTTACCATACCTTGTCAAAGTTGCCTTTAGCACCCTTTTCTCATGGGCATAATTATACATCACTGATGACTTCCAATATAGAAAATAATATATAGAGAATTTTTTTATTGCACTAGTCCTGTACATACATTGACCAACACTTAAGTTCAAAAGATGTAAATTATTATGTTAGATAAAATTAAAAAAAACAACACTTTATCCAACATTACGCCGAGGGTTTCGATTGTTCCTTCGAGGTGCCCTAAATCTTCTTCGCGTATTCCCTTGTTGTAGACGTGGTCTTCGAATATTTCCTCGGATTCGAGTATTGCCGGATCCTCGACCTCGAGTATTGGCGGGCCTTCGAGTATTGCCCGAGGTTCTCCTAAGATTTAAGAAACCTCTAGATTGAAATTTTTTCCTTTCGGGTTTCTTTGGCCTTTCCCTTATTCCTGCCTTCTCAAGTTGTTGAGCTTCTGGAACATCCCTCAAATGTTCTTTATTTAAATCTACCACAAAATTAGGATCAGATGCTTTTTTCAAGACTGAGTCTATCTGAGTTTGCATTTTTGTAGGTTGAGTGTTTCCTTTGGCAGAACGCGCAAACAAAGCGTTGACGGGGTATGGTTTACATGATTGACAACATACTGATCTGTAATTTTCACAAACGTAAATGGGGTTTTCCTTGACAAAATATTCACAGAATTTGTTAGCATCCTCGACACAACCTGAAAATTGATAAATCGAAAGATATATATTAGGTTTCAATAGCTATGTTTTTAGCTATATTCACATTTTGTCCGGCGTCCGTCTTTCTGTCTGTCTGTCCGTCTGTCTGTCCGTCTGTCTGTCTGTCCGTAAACTTTTCACATTTTCGACTTCTTCTCAAGAACCGCTGGGCCAATTTCGACCAAACTTGCCACAAAGCATCCTTGGGTGAAGGGGATTCAAGTTTGTTCAAATGAAGGGCCATGCCATTATTCAAGGGGAGATAATTGAGAATTAGTGAAAATTTGGTGGTATGTTTTAAAAATCTTCTTCTTAAGAACCACTGTTCCAGGAAAGTTGAAACTTATGGGGAAACATCCTCAGGTAGTCTATTCAAGTTTGTTCAAATCATGTCCCCCAGGGGTAGGGCGGGGCCACAATGGCCGACCAAAGTTTTATATAGAAATATATAGGAGAATTCTTTAAAAATCTTCTTCTAAAGAATAGCAGAGCTATAATTGCTCACATTTACATGGAAGCATCCCCAGGTAGTGTAGATTCAAGTTTGTTCAAATCATGTCCCCCAGGGGTAGGGCGGGGCCACAATGGCCGACCAAAGTTTTATATAGAAATATATAGGAGAATTCTTTAAAAATCTTCTTCTAAAGAATAGCAGAGCTATAATTGCTCACATTTACATGGAAGCATCCCCAGGTAGTGTAGATTCAAGTTTGTTCAAATCATGACCCCCGGGGGTAGGGCGGGGCTACAATGGCCGACCAAAGTTTTACATAGAAATATATAGGAAAATTCTTTAAAAATCTTCTTCTCAAGAACAGCAAAGCCATGATTGCTCATATTTATATGGAAGCATCCCCAGGTAGTGTAGATTCAAATTTGTTCAAATCATGACCCCCGGGGGTAGGGCAGGGCCAAAATGGCCGACCAAAGTTTTATATAGAAATATATAGGAAAATTCTTTAAAAATCTTCTTCTTAAGAACAGCAAAGCCAGAATTGCTCATATTTATGTGGAAGCATCCCCAGGTAGTGTAGATTCAAGTTTGTTCAAATCATGACCCACGGGGGTAGGGCGGGACCACAATGGCCGACCAAAGTTTACATAGAAATATATAGGAAAATTCTTTAAAAATCTTCTTCTCAAGAACAGCAAAGTCATAATTTCTCATATTTATTTGGAAGCATCCTCAGGTAGTGTAGATTCAAGTTTGTTCAAATCATGACACCCAGGAGTAGGGCGGGGCCACAATGGCCGACCAAAGTTTTATATAGAAATATATAGGAAAATTCTTTAAAAATCTTCTTCTCAAGAACAGCAGAGCCATAATTGCTCATATTTATATGGAAGCATCCCCAGGTAATGTAGATTCAAGTTTGTTCAAATCATGACCCCCAGGGGTGGGGTGGGGCCACAATGGCCGACCAAAGTTTTACATAGAAATATATAGGAAAATTCTTTTAAAATATTCTTCTCAAGAACAGCAAAGCCATAATTGCTCATATTTATATGGAAGCATCCCCAGGTAGTGTAGATTCAAGTTTGTTCAAATCGTGACCCCCGGGGGTAGGGCGGGGCCACAATGGCCGACCAAAGTTTTACATAGAAATATATAGGAAAATTCTTTAAAAATCTTCTTCTCAAGAATAGCAAAGCCATAATTGCTCATATTTATATGGAAGCATCCTCAGGTAGTGTAGATTCAAGTTTGTTCAAATCATGACCCCCGGGGGTAGAGCGGGGCCAAACTTTTGGATTCAAACTTTTCTATAGTAAACCAATTACTACTTTTTCCTAGCCACAATGCTCGGGTGAGCGATGTGGCCCATGGGCCTCTTGTTTCTTGGATGCAATTATTTGAAAAAAAAGATGTTAAGTGCTAGCAAATTCAGAAAAACTTTGAACTATTTACGACATTTAGAGCTTTAAAATATATTTTTTATATAATTGATGCTACCATTTTTCTCTTTTGTAGATTTCAATTAAAAATCAATTAAAGAAAACTTATGAAAATGCACCTTTTTCGGCAATTTTTGTACATGTCTCGCAACAATCTTGCTTGACATTTTTGTAGAAACATTGTCCAGGATTCTGTTGTACATCCCAACATTTTTTGTCTTGTCTATCCGCACATGCTGTGAAATAAAACATGAATAATTTCTAGTATTTACAACCACGATCAGGATTAAAAGTATTACGAATGAGAAATAAGGAGAACGGATTTCGTTCAAAATACCTCGTATAATTCAATCATTCAATACTACAAACCTTTGATGAAAAAAATGTATCTTTACTGAAAAAATCAAACCCTAAACAAACTCTATAATTTTAAAGAGGTACAATATTTTTAAAACTTTCCTCCTCAACAAAAACTCTAGTGAAAATCTTTAATCTCATCTGACGTGTTTATGAAAGACAAGGTTTACCTCCACATTCTTTACAGCATAATCTTCTAAACATGTTATTATGACACGGAATATACAGCTGCTGTCCCACTTCTGTACAGGATCTAAATCCAAACTTAACTGAAGGGTTGACACACATATGTTGATACGGTGATACAGTTGCTGTGGTGGTTGGTACGGTTGTTGTTGTCCTTGTTGTTGGTGTTGTAGTTGCTGTGGTTACAGGCTGAGCAGCTGTTGTTGTTTGTGTTGTTGGTTCACTTGCAGCAGGCGGCGTGGGTGGTTCTGTTGGCGATGGAGTTGGTACTTGTGTGGTTGTCTGTACAATTGGTGACGGGGTTGGCGCTTCTGTGGTAGTTGTCCGTTTAGTCGTAGTTGTGGGTGGTGGCTTTGTTGTCGTAGGTGGCGGTTGGGTAGTTGTTGGTGGTGGCTGAGTAGTAGTAGTAGTTGTTGTTGTTGCTGTTGTTGTTGTTGTTGGTTCTGTCACTGGTGGTGTAGTACTGATTGGCGGGACATAGTCAGCACACGTATCACAACACTGATCTCTGTATGCTTCGTCTGTACCACAATCCTCTGGTACACATGTGTCTATCTTATCACCATATTCACAACCTTGAAAGACATTATCTCAAATATTAGTACAAAACTGAATCCACACTTCCGGCGAATGCTTTGAAAAGTTAAAAATGCCGAACGTTAACACACAGACGGACGCCAGATAAAATGTAATCAGAAAAGCTTAAAACTCAAGACTAAATATTCAACAATTTAAAAATCAGTTCACCTTCTGGTCCCGTGCTCACTTTATCACAAGTGTCACAACAATCCTTCTCCTCTACGTAACACAGAGAGGGGTTTGTCAGAATCTTAGAACAAGAGTCACTTCTGTCGCCAAATGGACAGTCTGTGAATAAAATTGTATATCATTTTATGAAATCGGTCTCCTAGGAACCTAGAAACTATAAAACTGCGAATTTAACGGATTTAAAATATGAATTTTGGCATTTTCATTTGCTTATAAATTTTTTAGATATATATCACCAGAAGTAGAATAACTTTTCTTAAAATTGTTAAATTTTATTTTCATTTTATGCCATGTTTTCCGTATGTAATACATTTACATACTCTTTTGAACGAAATAAAGACACTAAATTAAGGTTCGTCGTTAGATAACAACGTTGAAAAAGTTGTTGTATTCGACATTTTTATTATTACAACCTGGTTTTAATTTGTTTGCAGCTTTCCCGCAGGATTCGCAACAGCTCGTCATGTAGTTGGATTTGTAGCATTGGGAAGGGGTTTCTGCTACAACCTGAGCGCACGTCTTCTCGAGGAAGGAAAATGTTTTAATTGAATCCCCGTGCACACAGTCAGCTACAATTTTATAAGATGAGTGTAAACAAGAGGCCCACGAGCCTTGAATCGCTCTTCTGATAAATTGTACAACCTATCACTTGTATTTGAAGCCTCTAACCCTAAGTATCCTAAGACCTAAGTTGCATCAACTGACAACGTTTGATGATTCTTAGCCAATTAGGACTGAAGATATTTTAATAAAGCTATAAAAAACCATGAGTAAGTCACAGTGACCTTATTTTAGAATGAAGTTTTCTGAGGACTCAAGATGCATTAATAGACAAACTAAGATTGACGATTCTAAGCCAATAAGTATTTGAGATATTCAAAAGTAGGTCACCTTGACCTACTTTTTGTCTACATTCTCCGAAATCCCAAAATGCATCAACTGACAAAGTTTGATTACTCCGAAATCCCAAAATGCATCAACTGACAAAGTTTGATTATTCTAAGCCAATAAATACTTAAGATACTTAAATATAGACATAAAATGTCGAAAGTAGGTCATTGTGACCTACATTTTAGTCGACATTTTTTAGAGTCCCAAGATGCATCTGCTGACCAAGTTTGATAATTCTAAGCCAATAAATACTTAAGATACTTTAATAAAGCCATAAAATGTCGAAAGTAGGTCACCGTGACCTACATTTTGATCGTCACTCTCCGAAAACCCAAGATGCATCAACTCACAAAGTTTGATGATTCTAAGCCAATAAATACTTAAGATACTTAAATATAGCCATAAAATGTCGAAAGTAGGTCACCGTGAACTACATTTTGGTTGACATTTTTCAGAGTCCTAAGATGCATCTGCTGATCAAGTTTGATGATTGTAGGTCTGAAGGTAATCAAAATATGCCTTTTAAACAATTTGAAAACAAATGCCTGCAAAATTCTAAAAGTAGGTCACAGTGACCTACTTTTTCTTAAATATGCTTTAAGGTCCCAAGATGCAGGAACTTGCAAGATTTGATGATTCTAACCCTCTCAGTGTCTGAAATAATGGGACTAAATGTTTTATAAAGGATAAGTCATAAAGTTCAAAAAGTAGGTCACGGTGACCTACTTTTAAGTTGACGTTGTTTAAGGACCCAAGATGCATCAACTAACAAAGTTGATCATAGGCCTTAAAGTGTCCAAAATATGCCTTCAAATCAATTTGAAAACAAATGCCCGCAAAATTAAAAAAGTAGGTCAATGTGACCTACTTTTGAGTTAACATGATGTGAAGTCCTAAGATGCATCAACTTACAAGATTTGATAATCCTAGTCCTTATAGTAAGCAAAATATAAACGTTTTTATTAATTGTAAATTTAGGTCAACTTTGAAGTGACCTTGAGACCACGCCCTTTGCCCCAGGTTCATGCCTTGAACAATTTTTAATCTTCAACATATCCCTATCCTTGTATGTAAGTTTGGTGAAAATCTGCCTGGTGGTTCTGGAGAAGAAGATTTTTTAGCAACCAGTACTTTTGGTTTTGTTTTCCTGATTATCTCCCCTTGTTTTAGGGGCCCAACCCTTATTTTAGTATAAATGGTAGCCCTTGGGCCAAGGATACCCTGTGACAATTTTGACACTGATTGGCCAAGGGGTTCTTGAGTTATGGTCCATATTCTAAAAAGTTAACGCACACCGCACACCGCACAAATGGCCATAGCATTAGCTCTTTGAGCCTTTGGCTCAGAAGAGCTAAAAAGGTGATATGGGGATGTTTGCAATATATAATGAAATAGTTGAAAGGTTTATAATCTTATGACGGAAGTCAACGAACTTTTCGAACAATCCTCGAATGTATGATTAAAAGCATTTTTAAATTTTACTCACGATCTTTGCTAGGAGCTTCTGCGTCACTTACACATCGACCCTCTAGACACCACTAAAATAAACCAATTTTTCATATTCATTATTTTAAACACAAAACGAATATGGCATTCCCTTTTTCCAGATAATGTTGAGAAAAAACATACCTTTTTATCTCCACACGAGGTCCCCCTAAATGCAGTTCCAAATACAAACGCATTTTCACTCTCTCCCGTGTTACAAGCCATTGAAGTACATATATCCGCGAATGATTTCAGAACATTGCCCTAAATTAGAACAAAGATAAAAATCTTTCAGATATGTATATATTAATATTACACGTAAAACATATTGGGTATATATGCTTTGTGGCAACGAACTTTGTAAAAATTACGCACTTTGAAAACATTTTTTAAAGTGCGTTAAAATTGGGACAAAATCAACGCACTCTGAAAATTTTTTTCAAAGTGCGTTAAATAACTCTAGACTCAGATTTTAGTAATTGAGAGAATCAATTTGTATTAGTTATATCTTTCGAAAAAATGTTTTAATTTACACGTACTCATTTATCCTCATTGGGAACAAGGAGAAGACGAGTAGAAGGTCTCTCAGTCCAACTTTTTTTTTCTTATACATTGTACATAGCCGTCGGTAGCAAATTGAAAGTAGACCCCCCTAAAGGTAAGCCCCAGTTTTCAATGCCTAAAGATCTTTGCAAAACATTTGTGTGCCTAAAGCCCCCTTCCCGGTACCGATGCCTATGCTACACCCAAACTAGTGTAAATGTATTTGCATAACTGGTATGACGTTGAAAACTTTCAATAAATTTTAGTTTACATATAAAATGCATTCAAAATGGGGAAAAAATTAAGTACAGTAAAATATTTAAGAGAGAAAGAATTTTCAAAGCATGGAAAAATCAAAATCGCTCACTTTCACATCCTGAAGTGACCTCATTACCGAAGAGTTATCAAACATGTTAAATTATTTATCATACCTTAGATTTGCAAGAATATTGACCAAGCCATAAACATTTTTTTCAAAGTGCGTAATTTTTCAAAGTGCTATGTAACAATACTTTATGTACAGTATTGATAAATGCTCAATACTACAATGTATGCACTACTATTCCTGATCTTTTTTTTTTATATAGATACGTGACACGTATGTCAAACTAAGAATATAATCTTTGTCAAAAAGATTAAAAACCAAATTAATATACCACGCACAATAACCAAGAACTTGAAACCATGACACAATTAAGAAATAGTTGCAAGATGTAGGAAACATTCAAAATATGTGATGAGTAAAACAGGACAGGTACAGTATACATGTATTAAAAGCAGAGGATTCGATTTTTGCATTAGAGGCGACAAGTTAAAGATCGCCAACAATTTATTCCCATTCATCTATTTAGATATCTTTAAACACATAATAAAAACTCCATTATTTTTGCTAAATTATATAATTTATTCGGATGAATCGCTAAATTTGTGTCCCGCAAAACATCAATTCATGCGGTAACTTAATGGCAGAGTTTCATCCCATGTTATATAGATAAGCTAACAATTGCTGCCTGATTAAAACTAATAGCAACAATATCTTGAGACTTTCTACATGTACAATAGGAAATGTTTGCTTTACCGAGCGGGACAGAAAGGCCCCTGAAGACGGTTTGTGTTACATGAAATCACAACTGAGTCAACAGATATAACTTACCCATCCATAATATGAATTAGGTCCTACAATGGCTTTGCACTGGTCATTGGGATTTGTTAATTGACCGGGGTGTGCGGCAATATTTTGATTGAATTCCTTGGTATCATAAATTAGTGCTTCATCAGTAAGACAATTACCAACTCTAGAATCAGGTTTACTTCTGTAAAATAGAATTAAAATTATGTGCGGTATGGTATTATTTAGCGTGTTCGAAAAGTTTTCTTTAAAGCTATATATGCCGTATTAGTATTTTATTTTAAAAGTAATAAATATATGTGGTGTCTCATCAAGTTATGTAAGTTATATACTTTCTGCAAATAAGACAATTCCACTCCATCACTTTTAAAAGTTATGAAATATTATTTGGTAAAAATTATTTTCTCTCCGTGTCGGATAAAAAACAGCCTCTTATTGAAATATTCATGATCACGTTGTCTCGCATGTTTACAGCAAACAATGGTCGAATCTCGTGAATGAACCGAAAAGCATGATGGTCTACTACGTTTTTACTACAAACACGTGAGTTAGGGATTGTCAATATTGAGAGCACCTCAGAGTTGGTTGCTTTTTGTACCGAGGAATAATCACGTGCAATTGTCTTTTCAATGGACATTTTCGGTTGGGTGAACTTCTACAGATGTCAGCGACTATGGATAAAGAAGTGTGGAAATCATGTTGTGCCAAAATGAAATAACTAATACAAACAAATGATATAATTTGATCAATCAAAATGGTTATTAGATACATTCGATTCTGCATTTCTTAATGGTTCAAAACAACAAAAAGTATTCCACAGAATATCATGTATAAATCTGCACAATATACCGAATGCCAAAACCAGAATACTACTAAATAATATAATTATATTCTTTACATGAACCACAGTATTTCTGACCCCTTGAAAATAATATAAAAAATCTTGCAAGTAGGTTATCAGCATTGGCTCGGGCTAATTCGAAAGTGAAATTTGGAGTTTGGCAGTAAATTGTGGTGAATGAATAAAATTTAGTAGTGAAAGATATTGGAACCTATTTTACATGTCAGATTTCTTCGAGCTAGTTGATTTTTCTTCTAACTGTTCTATCCCCCCACCCACTTTAAAAAAATGATGCTACCTACCTGAATTAATTTTTCTTAATGGTGTTTATCGAAATGCTTGGTTGTGCCCTCAAACTGGAATAGTTTTTAGAGGCCTGGAATTCCTTGACCAATTTTATTTTATTAGCCCAACTATATTTCTAAGAAGGCAAGATGCATGGTATGTAAGTTTCATCTATATATGTTATGTAGTTCATATTAAAAAACCAAAAGGGATAATTGACGATATCCCATTCAGGGTGGAAACATAGCAGTTGAAATTACTTTCCATACATTGTACTTGACATAAAATATTTTTTGCGCATAATGCGCTCCATACTGAAGATCCGTAAATGTTCACCCAACCGAAAATGTCCACTAGCAGTACAGCACGGGGAAACTCTAAACAAACGGACCTGTACAATGGAATGGGGAAAACTTTAATTTTCATCATTGTTAATCATTTGTATGCAAATATGAGCATGGGATTAGTAGATAATAATGTACATAATGCCTCAAGTCTTTCTAAGAGCGATTTAAAAAACTAGCCTTTTTGAAAAACATATGTAGTATTTTATGTAGTAAACCAAAAATGCATTAAATGCAACTCATTGAGCTGATTGGTCTATTTGTGTCCCTCACTGAACAGACGTCACAAAAAATATTTTCCTCGACCTGATGATTCTCGCGATGCTTTTCCCGCGCACATGCGCAGATCCAGGATAAACGTCAGTCCTTTATAAATATGAGAATATCGTGTTCTTTTCCTGACCAGTACTTCTTTAATACCGAATAAAATTTCGTCGAATTTGCAAGAATGCTTCATTTTTGGTAGCTTATCATACTCCAGAAATTTTTGTTCGGTTTCAGCTGTGCAAAAATACTGTTTAACACGGCATACATATCTTTAAAAGTTATATAGGGTTATATAGGGTATAAATAGAAAGCCATGCGGTAGCAGGGCACTCTAAGCTCGCTCGCTAGGATTTAAAGATTACATGTAGTATGGCTGATAGTGATGCAATGGAGTGTAATGAATTTGGGCTATACAGTTACTATATATTATTTAAAAATGGTTATGTATTAGCAGTATATAATTGAATAAAAGCACTAGCGAGCAGCGTTCCTACTTTAAATATGTGTTGTGATTTATTCATTTAGCACTTCATTAATTTATATTCGGACGAACGAAGTGAGGGAGAATATAATATTTCTTAAGTTATAGAAATGCTACTTTTGTATACAACAAAAAGTAGACATCTTTGTAGATTTAACAAGAGGCCCAGGGGCCACATCGCTCACCTGAGCACATTGGGTAGGGAAAAGCACAAATCAGATCAGAATTGAAAAGTTTACTGAGGGGGTGGGGTGGGGGAGAGAACTTGAATTCTAATACTATTTGAGAATGCCTCCATATCAATTCTGCATATAACGTCTTGAGAAAGTTCTTGAGAAAAAGATTTTTATAGATTTTTTTTAACATTTTGTTTGTATATATTACTTTGTGATAATTTGAATTGACTCCCCATTGTTTCCATCCCTACTGCAAAGAGTACTCATGATTTGAAAAAAATTAAATCTTCTATACATGAGGATGCTTACATGTCAATATGACTTAACATAGCTTTTCTGTTACTGAGATTTTTCCTTTTATTTTCCTATGTTAAACTTTGATCCACCATTGAGACCCTTCCCTACCCTTGGAGGTTATGATTTGAACAAATTTAATTCTACACTACCTGAGGATGCTTCCATATAAATATCACTAATCATGGCTTTGCTATTCTTTAGAAAAAGATTTTTTAAAATATATTTTTGGAAAACTTGTATCCCCCATTCTGGCCCCACCCTATCCCTAGGGGTTATGATTTGAACAAACAAGAATCTACAGTACCTGATGCTTCCATATAAATACTAGTATCACTAATCATTGCTTTGCAGTACTTGAGAAGATTTTTAAAGATTTTTCCCATATATTCCTATGTAAAACTTTGATCAGCCATCGTGGCCCCACCCTACCCCCGGGGGCCATGATTTGAACAAACTTGAATGTACACTATCTGAGGATGATTCAACATGAGTTTCATCTTTCCTGTCGCAATGGTTCTTGAGAAGATTTTTAAAGATTTTTCCTGTATATTCCTATGTAAAACTTTGATCGGCCATTGTGGCCCCACCCTACCCTCGGGGAACATGATTTGAACAAACTTGAATGTACACTATCCGAGGATGATTCAACATGAGTTTCACCTTTCCTGTCCCAATGGTTCTTGAGAAGATTTTTAAAGATTTTTCCTATATATTCCTATGTAATAATAATAATAAATAATAATAATAATACTTTATTTTGAGAGGGTAACCCGATTAGTGTAATGCACTAGTCTTCCTCGGGGCCCTCTTAGCATGTTCACAATAATACATGTACAATAATAAAAACATTTTACAATAATACATAAATAATACAATATGACATAAAAATACATTTTTAGGACATTTTAGTTGCGACACGTTATAATAATTGTTTCAACATTTTTACGAAATGTGTGTAAATTCTTTGAAAAACGTATATACAAAGGTAATTTGTTCCATAAATGAACACCAGAATAATGAAAAGAATTTTTAAATTGATTTGTTCGATATTTCGGAAGTTGAAGGTCATAGTTTGTTTCAGATCGTAGAACATAATTATTAGAAGAAATAAATTCAAAAGAGTCTCTTAAATAAGTAGGTGCCATACCATGAAGTGTTTTGTACAGTAGTACATATTTATGAAAATCGATCAACTCGTATATGGTCAGCCATCCAAGTTTTTCAAACAATGGTAGTGAAGGGGCATCATAAGCCACATCTAATATAATCCGGGCTGCCCTTTTTTGCAATTTATAAAACTCTATCTATGCCAGCACCTGGCGCATTACCCCAAATAGTAAGACAATAATTCATAGAAGGCAGAATGTATGCATTATAGAATAGTTTTCTTGTGTGTAAGGGAAGAAATTTTTTAATTTTGCGTAAAGTATATAATTTATATGTCAAAGATTTACAAACTGAGTCAATATGGTGATTATAGCGCAATGAATGATCAATATGCACTCCCAGAAGTTTTTCAGATTCAACATTTTCAATTAATTTGTTTGAAGCATACCCGGTATAAATTTAGTTCAGGGGAATTTATTCTTGATTTTCTTTGTTGTGTTCCCATAAGCATACATTTTGTCTTGTTGATATTTAACACCATTTGATTTTTCGAACACCAATTTTCAATCTTACACAAATCAAAGTTTAGGGCATTCTCAATACCTTCTATATTTTTATGATATGTATGTAAGGTTGCATCATCGGCAAACATATCAATATCTGTTCTATTTACATGTAAAGGGAGATCATTTATATACAATAAAAATAATAGGGGACCTAAGATAGATCCCTGGGGTACTCCTGCTGTGACGGGCAAAAAATCAGAGGAATATGTTCCTATTTTTACACACTGAGACCTTGAGGTTAAATAAGAATGAAACCATTTAATAGCCATTTGATCAAAGTGATATGATTGAAGTTTACTTATAAGTATATCATGATTAACTAAATCAAATGCCTTGCTAAAATCAATGAAAGTTATGCCTACTAGATTTCCTTGATCCATAGCTTGTAGCCAATTATCTGTAAGTTTTGTAAGGGCCGTTTGACATGAATGAAATTCTCGAAATCCAGATTGTGATTTAAATAAAAGATCAAAGTTAGAGGCAAAGTTACGTATTTGATTGGCTATGTGTTTTTCAACTAATTTTGATAATGTTGGAAGAATGGATATCGGTCTGTAGTTCCCTGGATCTGCGTGGTCGCCATTTTTGAAAATAGGAGTGACTTTTGCTTGTTTTAAACGGGTCGGAAATACTCCATTAGTGATGCTAGCATTTATAAGATGTGAAATAGATTTGCATATAACATTTGCCGAAAGTTTTAGAAGAAGAGGTCCGATAAAGTCTATACCGGCTGACTTGTTTACATCAAGTGTATTCAACATATTCAATACTTCAAATTCACTTATTTCATTAATACTGAAAACATTTTCTTTCCCTAGTTTAGTTTCTGTGTATCGATTTAATAATTCTGGATCAAAACTTTCTACAGACATATCTGCTAATAATTTACAGGATATTTCCGTAAAGTGTTTGTTAAAAATATCAACAATATCCTGTAAATCTTCAAAATCTAAACCATTTTGTGTAATACGGGTAGGTGTAAAATTTTTGGAATTAGATGCCAAATGGTTTAAATAACTCCACATTTCTTTAGGACTTGAGCTTTCTTCAATTGCTGATTTGTAATACTTTGATTTCGCTTGATCTATTAATTGTGTCACTTTATTTCTCCAAATTTTGTAATTTTCTGAATTCCTTTGTAAATGATATGTATCGCGTAAATGTCTAGCATCATTTATTTCCTGTGTAAGCCATTTAGGTCGAGTTTCAGTCTTGACTCTTTTAGTTTTTACTCTGGCATGCTTGTTTAGAATATCATTATATAATTCATAAAATTTATTCATTATCTCGTTTGGGTCTTTTAGTTCAAGAAGAGTGTTAAAATTTGCATTTTCTAAATCTCTTAGAAACTCATTTTCATTGAATTGTTTAAAATCTCGGTATTGGATTTCAGTATGTTTTCCTCTACGCTGTATGCAGTTAGTTTTCCGTGTCAAACATACAGGATAGTGGTCAGAAATAGCGATAGGGGGCACATTTGTTTCACATATGTTTTCCGGTTTGGTTGTATAAAAATGATCAATTAAAGTACTTGAGGTACTTGTTATTTTAGGAACAGTAACTATCTGCGAAAGTCCAAACTCTTCTAAAGCAGATGTCCAGTATTGTGGGGGGTCTTTCATTAGATCAATATTGAAATCACCTGATAAAATTATTTCAGTATCGTCACAGCAGGAGGCACAGTTCACCTCCCTTGCTAGGTCCTCCGCCCAGCAGGAGGGGGCAGATGGTGGACGATAAGCAGAGCAATAAAATATAGGTTTTGAATTTTTTAGATTTATCTCTAGCCATATTGATTCAATATTACTGATTTCAAAATCAGTTCTACGTTTATAAGAAATATCATTTGAAATGTATATTAAAATTCCACCACCTGCCTTTAGTTTACGATCTTTTCTTTCAAAAACAAAGCCCTCAATATTTAATTCAGAGTTGCCTATCTGCTCGGTCAAAAAAGTTTCACATACACCTAAAATGTCTAAAGTTTGTCTATTTTGGAGCAATAGTTTTATTTCGTCAATTTTTGGAATAATATGACAACATTTAAATTCCCGAATCGTAAACCTTTTTTACCAATCCAAATCCTTGGTTATTTTGTGTTGTTTGGGTATCATTTTTACGGGTCAAAGGAACTGTTTTCTTTACTTGTGAAACAGATTTGAATGATTGTGAATTTCTAGATTTTTCGGGAGGGTGATTTGTATCCTTTTTATTAGCGACTTTTTTGTTTGTATAATTTTCTGAATTTTCCTTTTTTGATAGTGAATTAACAGATTTTGTAGGGGTATGTGGCTTGTTTGAATGAAGGTCTAAGAGAGACTTTGAACATTTACATTTTTCGTTATTACATTCTTGACATAAGTTTATAAGTTCTTCATAAAGGTTTTTACAACGAGGATAATTGTTATTTGTAATAACGGCTGTACATTTGATGAGCCATCGTGGCCCCACCCTTGCCCCAGGGGTCAAGATATGAACAAACTTAAATCTACACTACCTGAGGATGATTTCACAGAAGTTTCATCTTTCCTAGTCCAGTGGTTTTTTGATGAGAAGATTTTTTTAAAATGCCATTAATTTTTCACTTTTTAATAATTATCTCCCCTTGGAAAAGGGCATGGCCTTTCATTTGAATAAACTTGAATCCTTTTACTCAAGGATACTTTGTAGCAAGTTTGGTTGAAATTGGTCAAGTGGTTCTTGAAAAGAAGATGAAGTGTGAAAAGTTTACAACAAAAATGACAACGACGACAATGAAAGACAACGGAAAAATTTTGATCAGAAAAGCTCACTTGAGCCTTCGGCTCAGGTGAGCTAATAACGGGAAAAAAACTTTCAAATTGTTTTTAAAATTAAGTATCATAAAATAATTCCATTTTGTCATAGTTTTGGCCGTACAAATGCTCTTATTATCCCCTTGCAAAGGAGTTAGAAGTTAAAACGCGTTTGTTTGTTTTAGTGTTAGTAGTATCTTTAAATAATTCCATTTTCTTATAGTCTTTTTTAATCATTATGAACTTTAATATATTAAATCTGCCTAACAACAATGAAACTGCAGGATTTTACTATACACACCTTAACTGACTAAAATGAATTTATTTATTTTCTTGCCTTTTTTACCATTCTACCGTGAATAAATGATGCTGTTTTAATTATATACTTTTCAATGCATGACTTAAAGTACCTCTTCAGTCACAATGAAGTTTATACATGAACCAACATTTAATAATGCACGCAATTAAAATGCACCTTTAGCAGAGACTTTCATAATCTTTGCCTGTCTCCAAATTTATCTAATTGTTTGTTTATTAAATAAAACACTAGTACTCACATGTTAGCAATGTATTCCCTGAAATAATCAATAGAACAAGTAGAGAATCTCCATGGATTGTGTTTCGTTGTTTCCGTCGTTTGGCCAGACACGGCAGTCAGTAGGTACTGGTCCATTTCAGCACAATCGTTTCCTACACCATCGTGTTGTGCTCCCAAACTGAAGAAATAAATATATTCAAAAATTATAAACACTGCTTAAGTAACATTAAGTAGTGCTTTTTTGACATTATAGTTAAGAAATTTTGAGAAAGACTTTTCCCTATCCAAGCAACTGCCTTCAGTGAAGCTTTTATTTTAGCCAAAACAACAACAGAACAGTTCTAAGACTTATGAGTACATAAATGTCATTTAATGTCTTTTTTTCATTCTGGAGGATATGAAAACTAATGCCACGCTTTAAAATTATAAAATTAAACATCCCAATTCTCTTCTCCTTTTATCTTTCAAGTTGAGATTTGACACTATGAAAATCTACATTCAATGTCCATATTTCTGTCATTAATTTTCTAAATACAATGCACAGGGGAGATGTCTAAATGGTATCATTTTACCACCATGTATGGATTGAACTCTTTTTGTTAGAAAGAACATCAATTAATAAACTTTGCTTTCAGCAAAAATGATTTCATTCAAAATAATTGTTTTGTTGTTTAATTTATAAATATACCTATGACCCAGTTCATGTGCAGCAGTAAAAACACTCTCAAAATTTCCAAAATCTTCAATTACTGATGTACTGGCCTCTGTACACAATGCTCCAACGTAAGCAAACCCTATCAGACAAAAATAAGAACCAAGCTTTTAGAAGCATTTCGTTTTTTCTCACAAACAATACGATGCAATCATAATCATTAAAAATTCAATGGAACATTGTTCTAATGTATTTTTTGGATTTATTTAGTATACTATAAAAACAATGCTGGAGTGTTTGTCTGTAGAATAAAACCATGTGTTGTATTCGTACCTGTGACATCTGTCTGATAGTTATTTTTGCTCGGAGAGTAGTAAAGATCTAAACTGTAAAAGAAATCGCAGTGTATTGCAAAGGAAATGCAATCAAATAAGATAGCAACAATTTGAATTGGAAACAAAACCGTTTACGCCTTCTACAAGCACACATTTTCACTTTTAAGAAATATTGAGAGGAAAACCATTAACAAATACGAACATTTATAATACAAAAAAAAAATGAAAAGGATTCTTTTTAAAATTCTATCACTCTTTAAAAATACCATATTTCAAAATTACTCTGTGAAAAGCATAAGGTGGTCGTGGTTTGGTAATGTTGTCTTTCTTCTGAACTCTGTGATGTTTGTAAGGGCCGATTCTATATTTGTCAACTCTCTTTGCGTGTCATCAAATGTGTTTCTTATTTTTCCACACGTAAAACATGGATAATCAGCAACCTTAAAAAAATAGTAGTGTCAGGATACATAATTATTATATACAACATGTTTTAGTTATGCAAAAATAAGACAGCTTGATCTGAATTTTTTAAACGATGTTCATTGTTAGTGGACATGTATTCTTCAATTTTCAAATACAATACTAGGCTATAAGTTTAAATATGTGTTTCATTTATCTGTCTGAAATTTAAAAACGGTTAGAAAAATCCAGAAACCTACTACACAGCAGCTGGTACTTATGTCAATATAAAATAAAGATTAAGTAATTCATCGTTATTTAATCGGCAGAAAAAGCACTGGGGCAACTAGTAGAGGAATATAGATTTTTTTGCACAATAAACTTTTAAACAAAACGGCTCTTTGATCTTTGTGGTGAAAGTAATTAATGAGGATTATTTGGAAAAGGAAATGTACAAATACTCTAACTAGAAAACAATCTATCATTTCACTGAACCTTAAATATAGATATAGGCCACAACTGTATAGGAGTTTAGAAACAACACAATCCACTATTTTTTTTTAATTCAAATTTAATTTTATGGTTAAAAGATTAAATTTAATAGTTAAATGATTTCCTTTTTTTTACAAAATGGTTGACAGCTAAATATACCGTATATAAAAAAAATAAGTTAAATCTGGTGGTTAATTTGGGATTAAATTGTTGACCCGCCAGCCTCCTTAATAGTTAAATGATTTTTTTTAAGTATTTAGTTTTACTTACGTCAACGATGATGAAACCGGTGACCACAATATTTAATGAGAAATCTCCCTTAATGGTTTTGTAACGGAGAGCAATCTACAAAAGAAGTAGACAACGTCATAAGGCGAGTAAACAAAACCATTCGAACCCCCTTTCAAATCCACTTAAACCAGTAATACAGTATATAATTATTATTTTTTTCAACAAAGAATGATCATTATATTCCTGACATTTAAAACAAGAAGACCATGGACCTGACATACATTGTTTTCTTGCATTGCTTTTTAAAGTGAGTACTATAAATACTCGTATATGTATATGTCTTTTAATCATATTTCGGAAGCTCTCTGATTAGAACTAATATAAAAAATCGGAAAAACATTAAGAGTAAAAGCATATTTTAAATATTGATCAATTCAGATTCCTTCTCAGGCAACTTACATGTATAACTGGAACTGTGAAAACGTTTTCTTTAGAAACTATATTTTGAAAAACGGGGCATGAATTTCAAAATATTCATAGATACATGTACATGTAGCTACGTGTTGAAGTATGACTGACAGAGACCAAATCTTTAAGTCCTCGAACAGACTTTAGACCTATGGGTTAAGTAAATTTATAAAATAGACTTTTTTTCATTTTTAATCCTATTTGTACAGAAAAAAAAACAAGCACACCACATTAAGAAAAACAAACATACCCCGTTAACCACTTGTGAGAAGTACAGTCTCATGTCCTTCTTTGTATTTATATCACGTTCTTGACTGGTTGCGCCTGTTGCTTTCTTATAAAATCTGATACCAATTAAAAAGAAAATGTAATGGATGGAGTTGTATTATCCAATGACAGGTATTTAAAAATTTGATTAATGCTTATCAGAATTAATGTCAAATAAATGAAAAAGAAACTACCATAATAACAATTTCGATTTCAGAAAATGTCTATGCTTTGACTGCACCACCAAATCAAATTAAGGCTATAGCTTTAACAGAAGCAAAATACATCCAATCCAAAAAAGTAATTCCCTTTTATTAGAAGTAACATATCTAATTTTAACTGAATCTTTGAATACATGTACTTACCTTTCATATGTAGCATAATCCAGTCCTACAAGGATGCCCACGTTGTACTCGTCCACTACCGTTGTGACAACCGTCTTCCTACTGGCTGTGGCGAACGCAGTAGGCTTGGCTGAGTTTGCCAATCTCTCTCCTAGAACTGGGGCATTATTGATGTCCACGACAAGCCTTCGCTTGGTTCTGCTACCAAGAGCCTTAAAGGCCTGAAGGGGTTCGACTCGTTCTGGCCTTGGGGTGCTCACATCAATAGGTGCTGGGGTAAACACTGGGACTCCTATGTTTGAGGTTCGTGCCCAGTTAAGTCTAGACAAGCGGTTCCTACCAACAGATGGTTTTCCAAATTTACTTCTCACTGGTTGACTTGTTCTTTCCTTTTTAACTGATGAAAAAATAAGTAAGTATTCACTCATTTTTTAAAGAAGCTAGATTTGATCGAAGGCGCAATTAAAATGTGTCAATGTATTTTGAAGACGGCAAGATTCAGGATTTTTTTTATAGGGAGGGACTCTCAATGTGTGTGAAAACTATAATGAGATTATGAAATATTTCACAGCTTTCAAGACGACAATATCATGAATAGTAGAGTGTAAATTAGAATAAAATTGACAGATTCAATGGAGAAGCTAGTTCAGATCAATTTCATAATCTTTTTAATGAAAAAGAATAAATTTGATGTTAATATTGAATACTGTTTGTTATCTCCATGTGTTCCATGTTCCTTCTATATTTTTTAAAAGGATAAAATGTTGTTTTTTTTTAGAAAGACGATTACATATTGGGCCTATCATGTGAAACAAATTTAAGGTAAATATCTTAACTAGAATAATAAATTGACTAACTAGAATATTTTCTCTATTTGTTTTAAAACTTATATTTTTTGAATACCTTTTTATTCGGACGGTGAAGAGTCATATAAAGATATAAACACATAATGTGTTTTTTATTTAATTAGTATGATGGAATTTTTTTTAAACTTCATTTTTCTTAGTTCTTTTCCTTAGAATTAAAGCTTTCAAAATTTTCCAAGATTGCGGTTTGTTTGAAAAAAGCATGGTAATAATAGATATTGTTAAAAATTGTTATCAATAGGAATTCATTTCAGTTGCTTCATAATTTGAGATTGCTTCCGTCAAGCATGATTTTGAGGGCAGATATAAGACATTACTTAATATAATATTTTACCCAAGTGTATTTTGTGTGGAGTAGGGATTTTAGTAGCACAATACAAGAGCACATCGGCCGTTCACTTACCTTTCTCCCACACTTTCTTAAAGTTTCGATTTTTCTTGTTTAATTCCCAGTTTGCACTCTGTTTGTTGGGTTTCGTCTTCTTGAACAACCCATACATAACTCTTGTTTTCTTTTTGCCACGTTTATCCACCTTGATATCAACTTGTCGCTTGCGTCTTGCTCCTTGGTCCAAAGGTTGCATTGCATATTCTTCTCCCTCTATATATACAGATCCTTGCTAAAAATTATCGAATCAAAAAATTTTTACGATTTCAATGATGAGCTTATGACTAATATATATTGATTATTACGCAAGGAAATTGATGTCTGCAAATAAATTATATAATTTTATGATTAATTATATTCTTATTAAAATGCAAAATTCTTTAGTTCATACAATTTAACAAAATCTGCATGATTTTGAGCTGATCAGTTCTTTTTACTAAGTAATGGAAATTTCTTAACCTGCATGCACAACAAAAATAATTTTTCTTCAAATATAATTACAAGGAAACTACTAGCATTCCCAAATGAGGAAAACAAATTTTAAAACCTCACAATATTTTCTAGCCCGTGTCTTCAGTTTTAATGCAGTGGTTGATTGATTAATTGGTGAATTAAGTTCCTTAATTGCAAACTTTTTCACTATGCGTGTATACGTAATCATCATATTCCGATGAAGGGTGTAAATGAAAACATATTCTTAGCACTCAAGACTATTGAAAAATAAATCCAAAGCCTACAATTACACTTGACCTTCGACTGAAGGTCATGCATTGTAGCCGAAATGATCTTTGACTCATTTCTAATGCAAAGTGAATGACGAGGGAACAGTCACTACCTACGTTATATGTCTTAGATTTGATGCGACATGCGAATGGAACACAGACCTTTCATTAACTGAAGCGAGTTTCTATTAAGGAGTCGCGACTGTTTTTCTATTCGGGGAAAATGGGACTATACATTTTAAAATTCCCTAATTTTTTTTCTAAATTCACCTTTAATTAAGATGGGCTTTCTAAAAATAACCATTTGAATTATGTTAGTATTTTATATTAAATCAATTATAAGATGATAAGATCCAGAATTTGAAGAAGAAAAAATATTAATTTTACTTATTAATCACTCATGTGTACATACGCAGAGGGAGCTTAAAACAATAATATAAGATGTTAATTTATTTACCTTTGGGATAAAATGATTCAATGACCAATTTTCTGATTAATTAGCTAGCATTTGCTGTTGTTTTTACATTTCCGATGCGTAATATGTAGGAAAATATGTTACGCTTTAATAAATCATGAACAAACGAGATTTCTGCTCTGTGTGAAAATAAACATGAATCAATGTATAGTGGCTAATATGGTTCAAAAAGTAGAAGAATCCTTTAAAATAAATAATGAAGAAAGTATCTGAAGCATCAATTGCTTTTTTTGTATAAATACTTAAATCATCCAACCCAAAATTTTCATCCACGAATCAAGTTAATATAATCTGAAATCTGCTATTGATTATTTCCGTACATTAAAGTTATAAATTGGGAAATTTGTAAATACCCTGATGCAAAGACTAAAAATATTAAAATATTTAAAAAATAAAAATATTTAATATATAATATCAAAAATTTTGTTTATATAAATCAAGTTAACGACTTTGTAATTGTACATGCTACCGGGTAATCAGTTAAACAGGATGATTAGGCTAAATTTTGAGTGCACTAATTGATTTGTGCACGTTATAGTTTCATGATACCGTATTTGCAAACAATCTCTTGGCTTGATTTAAAGAATATGAAAAGAATGTCAAGTTACCAATGTCTTTGTGCATTCTCCGTTCGCTTGTTGCTGGTCGCATTTCATAAGAAAAGCTCCACCATTTTTTGGATCGTGGTAAAATGCTACCGACTGTAAAAAGAAAAAAAAGTTCATTACAGAAAAATGCCAGGATGTAGTTTTACAGACCAGAACAAAATCAATCCTGGAATTTACTTTTATTATTAGAGAGAATATGTTATATAAATTAAAATAAAAACATAATAATTTAAAATTGCTTTATTTTCTAATGTTTTCATTTGCAATCTTCTACTTTGTATGTCATTATGTGATAATATTTAAGGAGAGTAAACTGAAAGGATTTTTTTAATCCGTTGAAATCATTCAATAGAGTACGTCACAGTGTTAAATAATGCCATAATGAACAATCATTCTGATGAGCATAAACTATGCTCAATAGGCAAATTTAATGCCCATGCAGTATCCATTTATACAGAACACTACAAAGGGTCTACAAAGGGTGTGGCAAAGGATGCTTACTCCACTGAGACACATGATGGGTCCACGAATCCTTCTTGATTCGATTCTTTGGAAGATTTATGAGATCTTTTAACCTTACTTTTTAATGTATAATTGAAGTGAAGAAAACTATGCAGTAAACTATTTAAATTATAAAAAAGAAATTAATCTCTGTTAATTTTTATTACCATATACCTGAATTTTGCACTTTGATACGTCAATGTTTGTACATTCCTAAAACAATGTCTTATATTAATTAATATGTTCTTACCGAATCGGCTGGAACCTCATCTCGCACTAAAACTGACTTGCCGTCTGGTCCAACTCTTGGAACAAGCACAAAGGCATTTGGATTCAGTTCGTCATACCTTTCCAAATGAAGTTCTAAATTTTTATTTTGATTTCCAATATTTAAACCAATATCTATATTTTTAGGATTTTTTTCCTCCACGGGAGCCTCGACTACTGCAAGGTCTGTTGGTGATTCTACAAAAACAGTGTTGTATTTAAACTTAAATCTTTGCTTAAGGGTACTTAACACAAACAAAAAATTGATGCATGGATTGATATATATTTTTTGATTGATTTTGATTTGAGATGACATAAATAATAAATCCCTTAAATATAAAAAAATCGTATTATTTCCTTGGTGCTTAGATATGAGACTTTGTTTTGCTTCCTATATAATTCCATACAAAATTTTGCACAAAATTTTAACCTTAAGACAAAGTTTTATAAAATATTCCAACTATACTTGGTAAACATTATTCAGGCTACCAATTTAAATGTAAATCTATGAGAAATATTGCTGCTTTCCGAAAAAAGTTTGTGTTATTGATCCTTAAGCAAGATAATTGAATGCGTGTTGCACAAGATTAATATCTCATTTGGTGAAAATCTGCAAATGCATTTAAGAAATCAAGTAAATACAAATTTAGATTTCTACATTCTTATAAAATTTATATGGTTGTTTTCTTGTCTGCATAGTTTTTATCCTCTATTGCATGTATGTTTGTTTCATAATCTAGATACAATGCATTATACTACAATCCTTTCTCAATGACTTCTGATTTCAAATGACTTCTGATTTCAACCATCAAAATTTTTCGAAAATGTCATTAATTTAGACTTTTTCTTCGTATGTCTCATTATAAAAGTTACTAGGTTAGTGTCTTAATTTCAAACTCCACTGTTTAAAAATGTTTCTTGGCTGTTTGATTTTTATGAATTCGGTTGCAGTCTACTAAAAATCCTTAGTATAAAATGAATTCTAAAATCTAATTTGATACTAGTTTCTTCCGCAATATGTTAACTACTCAATCAAATAAGACTTGAATTCTCACTTATCGCATATGATCCATAGATTCAAATCCACGAAGCATAAGAAATTTAAAATATATATGAAAATGAAATGACATACGCCAAAAACAATCGTCAGTTCTAATAATCAGTTCTATTAATAAGTGATTGATCAATTCATAAATAGTAAAAAAAAATATCCCTTAATGCACCCAGGAGCAGACTCGCGTACATTTCATGCGAGTAAAAAAAATTAAAACGAATATATTAATGGCAATGAAAATAATGTGAAATTAATTAAGTGTTAACTTGTTATTATGTAAATTATATTTGATATTTAGAATATTTGTAAATAAAGAATTATTTTGATAATTGATACGAACCATTTGTTTGTGAATACGTTTCATCCCACAATATAAAGAAAATTAAAATAAAACACAAATCTTTAATCATTGTCGATGCACTTTTTTCATCTGAAGATATTTTACGCGAGGAGAAGAAAATATAGGGTCATTTTGCGGTAATTAATCATTCTTGCAGGGCGCAGCCTGTTGAATATCTATACTTAAAAGGTTTGTTTTACGCAAATTCATTCATGCATGCCAGCAAAAAATGCTAATAAGCGATTTGTTGTGTGCTCTGAAAACAATTGTTTGAATAAGTCTGGTACAGTTGTTTACTTTTTGATTTACAGAAGTCATTTTACGTAATTAAAAATGTGAATTAACTCTATATGAAAACAATTATTGTGTTTCAGTTTTAAGGGCTTGTTAAAGCAGACTTTTATTTCTTAAAAGAATGTTTGAGGAAGTTGTTGTAAAAAAAGGAATTACACAATACACATGTACCTCATATGGATTAATTCCTGCTTAGACAGTTTAAGGACCTTGATTCCAGGTCAAATTCAAATGACACTGTAAAGGTCGATTTAAAAAAAAATCATTTTTGGATTTTTTAAAACTTCTTTGTAAACCACAAGTTTAATTAACATCATATACTACTGAATATATTTATTACACTAAATTTATTTTTAATTTCTTAAGTCTTTGAAACATGGTCGTATAAATGCAATTGGACATCGTAGTTTTTTTGGTCCAAATCAGAGATATCAGATTAAATAAGTAATTTTATTAAGAATTACTTGATTCGTCTTAAAATTTGCGTATAACAGTATAACATTTAACTCTGGAAACGACATTGTCCAGAAATTTTACTACTATTTCTGATTGTGATATCCAACTTCTTTTTATATCACTTGCTGGGATATCGTAGCAGTATATCTGAGTCTCATGTTGAACTCTCAAACATCTCCACTTCTAAAGGTGTGAAGTCCTGAACCTCAGAATCCCATGGGAAAATTGCTGGATTTTCAGTCCCACCAACTATCCCACCTTTCTCCCATGGGAGAAAAAATGTCAGATAAGATATTTTCTCCCATGTATTTGTTCAATGGGATAAATCCCACGGATACTCACAACCAGACATTTTTTCCCCCATACATTGTGAGAGATTGAATGTATCCCATAAATTATGACTCATCATAATCTAAAGGATATATTCCAGGTTTAACAATGTATTGGAGATCATTCATTGTCAATATCCATGGGATATTATGCTCCTTGTTATGATCTGGAAAACAGAAAAAAATGTTGACAACTTATTTATGTTATTATGACTCAGCAATATGTATGAAAAACATCAGTCAGCATTTGACTTAATGAAATATTGTTTTTATATGTATTGACAAGGTTATTAAATCGACTGCAAAATTTGCGAAATAATGACTTTAAAAGAAGATGTTGATGTCCTTGTTTTATCAACTTGTAAGGCAATAGCTTATCTCGTTTATATGTATAAAGACATTGTTCGTACGTACAGCACATCGAAACTACGGGGAGATTTAAATTGCATAAGTTTGAAAATGTTTAGGGTATATTGCTACACAAGTAAGGAAAGAAACGATAAAATTATTCCTCGTTTATCTGTCACATAGATTTGTTGTTAGCTTACCACTGACGTCTTTTTCTTCTTTTTGTAATACAGTATCCTAATATTAAAGAGATACGTAGTATAATAGGGTTTGTCATTCTCAAACTTATCCTTAAAAGTTTCAATGGCAGCGGTTCCATTTTGAATAAGCCAGACACAACTACACTTGATAATTCGTAATTCAGATTTTCCATGCTATCTGTGGATAAAACTAGGTTAAACAATAACAATTTGATACTAAACTTCTTTCAGAATTATGTGTAAAAATAAAAAGCTTACAATGTAAGCTTCCTCGGCCAAAGGTGCAAGAGGAAATAATAAACGTTAGATGATTTCTTTTACTTAAAATGGTCCTTTATCGTAATTAATCAATATCAAATCATTGTTCACTTAATTTTACCAGTTTTAGTTAATTCGATTTTGGTGTTGGTAAATTTGAAATACACCAATTACAAATTACTTGACGTACGTTTAAAAAAAAGTAAAACGCCACTGTGTGATTGCTGAACAGCAGTTAAATGAAAAAAAATTGAGTTATAAACTACAGCTACGGTAATTTCTTAACTATATGTGAGAGAGAAAAAAAATCTAAAACTTTTTAAATCTTTTTTTTAATTTTTTTTTTATTTCCCGTTTCTATGAATTGAAGTTTTAATAAAGATTTGGTTAATATTTTTCCGATTAATCTGCACTCAAATTTTAATGATCAATGATAGCTTAAAAGAGAACTAAATCAATCATGTTGCACATTTAATTTATCGCAAATATTGATTCTAAAAAGATTTTAATAGATATTTGTATGATAGTTTAATACAAAAAAGACTGCCAGCATCAAATCCCTTACTAAAGAAGAAAGTTGTAAATACGTTATTGATAAACTATCAACTTAATTAAACTTTAAGTTCGAACTCTAGATCCCACTGGAGCCATGAAACCTTCAATTTATGTGAGGTTAGTATGTGCTCGTCATAATCATGCAGAAAGTTTTCTTTCTTTTGGTCCACAAGTTTAAAAAGAAAAGATTTTCAGAGATGTAAAAATACAAGTATTTATAGATATGAATGTGTGACCAAATTTACCACATAAAAAAATAAAGCACATAATATGTGATAATTATGCTTTCTACTTCTCTTATCCTACTCCACATAATAAAACTAAACCAATTGCGCCGAGGAATGTTTTTGATGTTGTATCATAATTGAAATTAAAACAAAATTTCCAATTGCCCCAAGTTGGGGGTATGTTTTTTATGATCTTGTAAACTACACATCCGACTTAGGTGAAACCTTTTTGAAATTAAAATGAATCAAGGTCAACTGTTGCAAGAAGTGCAAAACTTAAAATGACCAATATATAATTTTTTTCTATTTTTGATGTTTTGAAATTATAATGTAAGGATATATTGTTTTTAATAAAAAACGTGTGCCGTTATTGGCTGAAACTAAAGTCTCAATATCTTTTTTGTTTTTTGATAAAATCATTTGAAATTTTGAACATAGTCATACATTAGGGAGATCTACAGTATGATATATTAGAATTTTCATGTTGGCATACCTGCGTGCTGACACTTTTAATGGCTTTATTACTTTGTTTTTTGACAAAATGCTTTGAAATTTAAAACATTGTCATGCATTAGGATATCCTACAATATGATATAGAAATAAATCATGAAAAGCAAATGTGTGCTGCAATCTGATTGGCTTAAACTTGAAATGGCTATAACTCTTGTTTTTCAACCAAACAGGATGGGAAAAATTAAAAATCATTTCAAAATAATATTCAGTAATTCATCTTTAAACACTTCAATATATTGTATATTTGTGTTGTGTAGAAATTATGATCATAATGCAAGTATTTTGACATCAAGGTCACTAAAATTTGAATATTATCTGAGAAAATAAAGTCAAAATGCACAGAGTTTGTCTTATTTAATGAAGCTTACAGGGAATATGGCACCAAAAAGGAAAATCCTGAATGATTTACAAAGCACTAGTTTAATTTGATTTTTATTTATGTTTATAAGTACGAGTTATTATAATAGATGCTTTTGTGCTTTAATTTTATTGGATGACACAAATCCATGAAAACAGTTAATAATAGCAAGTTTTCAAGCGACAAATTAAAAACTATTTCAAAATAATATTCAGTAATTTATCTTTAAAACACCTCGAACGTGACAATTTTTGCCTCGAAATTAAGCAATGCAATATTTTGACCTCAAGGTCACACATCATTATCATGAAATGACGTTTAAGAAGAAAGGGAAATCCTCAATGATTTCAAACAGTCTGTTGAATGAGGAAGGTTAATTTTATTGAGAAAATCCAAAAACAGATTGTTCAAGCGTTAAATAAAATATGAAGATTAAAAGCGGAAATACGTGAAATAACTACACATGTATATATACCTGTGTCCTCTACAAAAATTAGAACTGAGGACACCGGTATGAAATTACTTAGGGTGGAACTCATAAAAAATTGACAATTGTTTTTTCCATTTTATTATTATTGTAAATACAATTTTCCATAGCATAATTTAGCAAATACCATAACATAATGAAACAACCTACAAATGGAAATTGTGATCAACTATATGTACAAACAAGGTAAAAATAATATTGATAAAAAAAACATTAAATAGTAAGGAAGTTCATAATTTAAGGTCAATACCTTCTTTAAATATGGGTTAATCGACTAGAAACTCAAATAATGATAAGAAAACTGACATTATTTCATCTGCTAAAAAAAACTAAGAAAACAATTTTCAAAAATGTTAACCTTGAAATGCTAAAAGTGGAACTATGAACGCACTACTAATTTGTTAGAGACATGATATAATCAAACTTAAGAAGTCATTTGAAACAATAAAAATAGAGAGCAGAGCAAACATGTGCATCCTTCAAGCATCAGAGGTGGAAAACAAGTGCCATGGAAAAATGGACATCCCTGTTTACTGGTCATTCCAAACCGGAGCTCTTTATCACGATTTGAACACAATTTTTTTTTTGTAAATAATTTTCTGTCAATTTGCATGAAAAAAAAAACCCAGAAAGCATTCAACTTTATGAAAGATTTTAATGGCTGATTGTATGAGTCCGAATCCGAAAGATCTTACAGATTTGAAGTTAATATTTTCTGTATAATATCACGACTTTTTAAATTTTTTTTTTAAATTTTTAATAGCATTTTACACAAAAGTATATTAAGAATCTTAATTTGTCTTAAAGTTATTGAAACTTCAGATTTTTTGGGTGAGTTTCATTAAAAATATTAAGACTTTAATCCAGAAAAATAATTATATTCAGAGTAGAAATGTTTGAAAGCAAAACCCTTCACAAGTATCCTCATTCCGCGCTAAGCGTTGTGTACAAAGTTAAGCAAATTGATCACACCCGTGAAAAGAACACAGTTTTTTTTAAAAAGGGCACGAGCTCTGTCATTGTTGATGTTTACGATTCACCGGGTGCGTGCAATTCTTAGAGTCTGCTCACCACAACTACACGCA